TATCTTTATTATTAAGTAGTGTATCCCACCAAGACAGCCAAACAATGAGCTGAAAGACATTATAAAGCTCAGTAAAGCCAATGGGGAGCTGCAAATTCACAGCTGTTCTGTAGGTTTATGACCAAGACCTTTGACCTTGTCACATGGTTTTCAAATGATCATTTCTTTCATTTTTTTTAAAATATTGATTATAGTAGCTATAGCTGTGTTTCACTTAATTAGTACTTTAGTTACACACACAAATATAAAACAACTAAAACATATGTTGTATATGCTAAAAGTGTAAAACCAAAAGGAAAACAAAAACTTGATCTTTCTCACCCCCGACTGAGGAGGTACTGAGCCACCTCGTAGTTGCCACTGGAGCAGGCTGCCATCAGCGGGGTCTTGTAAAACTGATCTCTAACATCTACAGGAACCCCCTGACTGAGAGCGAGGTCCAGAGTCTCCAGGTCTCCACTTTTCACACAGTAGTTGATATTGACGTAGACCTTGTCTGGCTTTTGGAGGTACCATCCTGAGTCATTCATTATGGGATGTTCTGGTGGGTGATCAGGGTCGAACCGACGGATGTCTGAACAGTTGTAGTATGTCTCAATCATGAAGTGGGGTGGGCCTCCATCTGGTCGCCGGGGCATAAGCTCAGGTGGGAGGGTGCAAATGGGCAAGGGGAGGACAAATTTACCTTTCTTCTTCCCTCCTTTTCCTCCCTTTTCTCCCTTTTTCTTTTTAGGCATATAAGAGGAGAGGAGGAATGGTTTCTTGATGTACTTGACACCTTTGATGAAATCATTAATGTTGATACGGCCCTCTCTTCCCTTGTCATGGGCTAAGATAACTGTATGGAGCTGGTCTAGCTCGACTGGAGCTTTTAGTTCTTCTAACACTGAAATAAACATCTCAGTGGTAACTGTGTCTGATTTGTTCCCAAAGGCTTGCCATAATTCAGTCTCATACTCGTAAGACCAGTCGTGGAGGGTCAGGACCCAAGGGTCTGACATGAGGCCGACCTCGCTGGATTTCTTGCCTTTTCCCTGTTGCCTCTCGGCTTTCCTTAGCTCCTTGGCTGCTGCTTTGTGACCAGCGTCTTTGGCAATCTGACGTGGCAGAAAACCTTCCTGGTTCTTCAGTTTGGGGTTACAACCTGAACATAGAGTGCAGTTTTAGGAAAAATATAAACACAAGGTAGAATTACCTAATTCAATTTGTGTTTGCAGCTGCATATACTACCACATTATTTTCTTTATTTATTTTTTTAAATACTTGACCATGCAGAAAATTTAATTTCCTGGCTCCATGAATCACAACAGAGACATAAGTTTAAAACATATATCTACGAAAAGAGACTAATAGAGAGCCTGTCTTAACTAATCCCTACAGAATTAGGAGTAGTTACCACAGAACAATCTTTGGTAACCAAAAGAGCTGAAATTCACTGCAATGACATCAGGACGTCTGTTACTGTGACTCTCTCACAGTACCTCTCTGTGCCAGGAACTTGCAGCAGTTAGCGTTTCCTGTGGCAGCAGCGTAGTGTAGGGGTGTGCAGTCATCCATATTGATCACACCCATGTCTGCTGAGTATGCAGACAGCACCTGAAGCACCTTGAAGCCACAGAGAAACACATTACAAAATCTAAAATCCCATTGCTAGCAGTAGGAACTACTGTAATTTGAGTTAGGGCCTGAAAAAGAAATTTAGAAAACATAGAAGAAAAACAGCTAAAGTAGGGAGGCAATCACAATGCTATAATCAAATGAGTGGTTAAAACTTTTTTTTATTTTTACTGCAACTTCATATTATTTAGTAATCTTTTTAATACTAAAAAAGTTACACTGGGTGAGCAGATACTGCACCTCAAAAAAGCCCCCCATTGCGGCATAGTGTACTGCTGTGAGGCGTTTTTTGTCCAGGGCGTTAGGGTTTCCCCCTTTCTTGAGAATGGTTTTAACAAGCTGCAGGGATCCGGCCTTGGCTGCCTCCATTAACGCTGTGACGCCGGTTTTCTGAGGAGACAACAGCTTGAATCATATAACTGCTGCTAATATTTCAGCATCACTGTGTTTTGTACTCAAAAAATAAGCTATCAGTTCTTACATACTCCATGCTTCTGCCTCAGTTCCCATAATGCCTCAGTGTTATCCAATTTTTTACCTGATTTGTTGCATTAGGGTCTGCCCCTCCACCCAGCATGATGAGACATAGGGGGGTGCACTCCTGGGCTTTTTCACACATCAACTGGAAGACATGATTCCCCTGCGCTGACACATTGTTGGCGTCTGCATGGCACTTCAGCGCTACCTGCAGGCAGTGGGTGTGGCGATTGGTGGGGTAGTTACAGTAAAACAATACACCTAAAGTGAGAGGAGGAGAGAGGTACAAGTGTTAATAAGGAGTGTATAGGATTCAGCTTTTCATCATAATTGTCTATAATTATCTATATTGAGTCCCATGAGCACACCACATGTCAGGATGGCCGAGCGGTCTAAGGCGCTGCGTTCAGGTCGCAGTCTCCTCTGGAGGCGTGGGTTCGAATCCCACTTCTGACAGCTTCCTTTTGCATACCAATTACTCTCATTTTGCTTAAGGGAGGACTGCATGCATTTGCGCAATGGGGATCAACAAAGGCTTATTTTATCTTATCTCAACACAGCGTGGTCTTAATTTTGTGTGTTCGGGCCCAGAAATCTATAACTGCTCATGCAGGGTAGACACCCCAGGATCACATGCTGATCTGCCTTTTCAACTCTAACGTACCCAAAAAAGCTTTCGCTGGCAACAATGCTTTCTCTTTTCCTTTCACTTTCTTTTTACGCACATTCACAACTGGGAGCTGCACAGTACAACCAGTCTGATCTGGCCACGGAGCACCCACACTGGAGCAGTTGGCGGGGTTGAAGGCTTTGAACAATGGTACTAAATCATGGTAATGAGGGAGGGGCAAGTGCTGCCTCTTTCCCCCCCACCCAGCCAGTCTCTATAATACTGAGGATAATACAGGCAAATGTGTGACTATTGACACTCAGCCTACTGGGGGAAAGGGCCTGGCTGTGAGTGTTGATACCGGCCCGAACCGGTTCTTGGATAGTGCAGGATGATATCAGGTTACTCAGCATGTTTCACAGGAAAGGATCACCATTAGTGGTTGATCTTTAATTAGATGTACCCACGTGCCCTGACACACACATACACACAGTCATGAACACACATACAAAATACAGTATATACATTATACAAAAGCATGCATTCATGCACAAAAGCACACACAAATACTTTTCAGCCTAACTCAACCTCTCTCTCAAAGTCCCATTTGCAGTAACTGATGCCCCGGATGAACTGTAATTGGGGTCATAGTCACAATTGGTTTAAAAAGATCCTGAAGAAGAACTTTCAGTTGTCCAGGATACAGCCTCCTCATCAATATCTAAACAGGAGCAGCATGCATTTTCATGAGTTGTAAGACAATGCAAGGTATTCAGAACGAACCTGCTGGTCTAACTTGAGATGGAAAACACTACTATTTGAGAAATCGACACTTGAAGCTCGAATGAGAATAGGTCAGTAGAAGGAACACTGTTCCGTTACCTCTCGCAATTAAAGCCATATTAATTATTCCCATTATAGGTACCTTTCTGCACATTATATAAGTGAGTTTAACTTGTGGATTAAAAATGATTTTCTGATAATCAAAAATATAAATGGCAAAAAGGCCAAATGTCTAACATTAATCAGAGCTGTCAATCAGTTATAGCAATTTCCAATCTTGTATTTTGAGATTTAGAGGATGCCCCTTTTACATTTGGCAAATTAACAGAAAAGGACACATGGATGGCACGATTATACCTTTAGGAACAGCACTAAGGTGTATCTCTTTATACAAATAGCTACAACTAATAATTATGTATATAAACAAATCAATCTCTAAATTATCTTTTAAATTAATTAATTTTTTAGTCAAACAAATTCAAATTGCATATAACATCAGACAGTCGAAAACTCAAAGGTATCCACTTTAAGGTGATTTTAAATATTAAAAAATTTACAAGAAGCAAATTGTTTTTACCTGATAAATGACTCGAGTGAGTATTTGTTACCAACATTGATGAATATTCTGCCTATTACTGAATATATCTAGAATTGTGTGTGTATATATATATACACATATATGGATTTGTCTTCCTCTTCACTAAACCAACCAGCCTTGTAGATCTGGCCACTTTTTTCCAACTTTTCTGCTCTTCTACTTTTGCTGTCTTGTATCTCTGGATCTCTGTTACTATGCACCTTCTACATAACATTCCTTTTTGATATTTTGTTATATAATCACATTTGAATGTTTTTGCCAATAAACAGTTTTTATTTCCCATCAGTGTCCCTTATAGTTTATCCTTGCTTGTTGTTGTTAATATATGAGACTTATCTATGGTACTCTGTCTTTTCTGCGCAGATTTTTGGTTGCTCAGGTCTCTCGCAATTTAAATATTTCAAACTCTGTAAAACTACTTAATTTATTAAAGTATTAATTCTGTCAAGTTCTACAATGTTCTCCCCATGTGTTTCATTTATCCAGAACCAACCATCTGCACATGCCTGCTACTGCTCACCTTTGCCCTCGGTGTCTTGTAGCCTCAGGTTAGCATTGCTCTGGGTCAGCAGTGCTACTATGGCATCATTGCCCTGCTCAGCGGCTAACATGGCCGCGGTGCGACCCTTCTTGTCCTGGATGTCTGGGTGTGCTCCCTGGGAGAGAAGGAAGCTGACCAGGTCTGTAAGGAGTCAGGGAGAGCAGAGAACCACTCAGGAGAAGGAAATAACTTTGGACAGTATTCTTGTGTACATGCACTTTTATCATTCCCGGACGTTGTACTGTACAGTAATAAAGCCTTGCATTAAGATGATCTATAAATTCAAGAAAATCCAAGAACAAGTTGTAGACTTAAATAAAATGACAATACAGTAAACTGAATAGTCACAGTATTCACGTTATGTATAATACTGACTGTCTAAAACTATTCATACTTTGCAGTCACGT